GTCCCGCCGTTGTGGCACACGCCGGGCATGCAGCGCCCCGCACGGCTGTCCACTTCGCAGTTCTCGCCTGGGGAGAGATGAGGGGTTTGGGACATGTCCTCAGCCGGGACGCAGCAGCCTCGCATCCACTCTGTGCTCTAGAAGTGCAGACTGACTCTAGAAGTGTCCGCCTGGGTTTGGGGCACGGCAGCCAAGGGACAGAGGTCTGTGGGGCAGCTGGGGGCAGGCAAAGCACGTGGCAACCCCGGTGACCACCCAGGTGTTCCTCACAGTAGCCAGCAAGGCAGCTACCACTGCCAGCCCTGCAGACCCAGCCACCGGGATGGAGCAGCTCTGGCTGAAGGAGCAAGCCTGGATCCAGGATGGAATAGGAATGGGACAGGAGGGGACTGTCCACAGCTGGGCTGCACAGTCCTAAGGATGGAGAGGCAAAGACAAGCCAGGGAAGTCCTGGTGATGCTGAGAGTGTCCCCATGGGCACCACTACCACACAGGCCTGGTACAGGCATCACCATCCTGGCTCGGGTGTGGAGACAGCCCAGTGCCACTGAGTTCCCCTGCCAATAGCTATGGAAGTCCCAAGCACCAGGAGCCTCCTAATCCTGTGTGCAGCCTCTGACATAGGAGCAAAAGCCCAGTGGAAACCAGCTGGATGAGGGACACCAAATACCCTTGCACCTGGCTGACACGGGTAACAGGGATGCCCCACGCCAGCTCAGCGGTGCAGTGCAGAGGGCTGGCCAGGCCCTTTTCTCTGTTCCTTTCCCCACAGACAACCACTCAGCCGCAGCCCTGCATCCCGGGCCCTGCTCCCATTACTTGCTCCATGGCATGCAAGGAGGATGAGGAGACAGCATGAAGTGACAGGGAAACAAGCTCATTAACCCTTCTGCTAACGGCTGTTCACGCTTCAAATGCTGGGGGTTAATTACCACTGACTCTGCTTATCTCACCAGGAGCCACCAGCAGCAGGAGAGTGGCTCCAAAGCACCATCTGCTGCCATGCCTCCCCC